CCCAGGGGCAGGAGGGGGGCCTCAGGGGTGTGCGTTGTCTTCAGAGGCGAATATGGGGGCTCCAGGGTGACGGTCGTCTCCAGGGGGGTGTAGGGGGGCGGCAGCGTGACGGTCGTCTCCGGAGGGGTGTAGGGGGGCAGCAGCGTGAGCAAGGGCTCCTTTGGGATGTAGGGGGGCTCCAGGGTGACGGGGTTCTCTGGGGGGATGTATGGGGGCTCCAGGGTGACTGACCTCTCAGGCCAGCCCTGTTTGCTGGGGGGCTGGGAGCCCAGGGCCTTCGGCGGTGGCTGTGCAGAATGTGGCAGGGCGGCCACTTCGGGGGGGACGAAGCGGGGCTGCAGCCCCACAGCCCCCCTGGCAGGGCTGGGCAGAGTTGCCCCACCCACTGACTGTGGAAGGACGTAGGTGGGCTGCGTGGGCAGGAAGGGGGGCTCTGGAGGGGTGTATGTGTCCCCTGGGGCGATGTAGGGGGGCTGCAGGGAGACCGTCCTGTCTAGCGGGAGGAACGGGGGCTCCGGCGGCGTCGGTGGCTTCCCCTTAGGGATGAACGGGGGGGCGATCCCCGTGGGGACTGACTCCTGGGGGAAGAACGGGGGCTGCAGTGTCACGACCTGTTCAGAAGGGAGGTAGGGGGGCTCGATAGGCGGGGGGGAAGCTGCGACAGGGAAGAAGGGGGGCTCCACCAGGATAGTTGGCTCCGGCTCTTGGGCGGGCTTCCTCAAGGCCGGCTTGGGCCATTTGGGGGGGGCAGCTTTGGGGAGAGGGATTATGTAGGCCCCTGCAGATGTTTCAGAGGCAGCTGTGGCCCATGGGGCTGAGTCCACTTCCAGGAAGCTTTCAGGAGCGTCTGTGGGCAGAGGAGCCGTGGACATCTCTGGGGAGCTTTCAGGAGCGCCTGTGGGCAAGGGGGCTGTGCCCACCTCTGGGGAGCTTTCAGGAGCGTCTGTGGGCAAGCGGGCTGTGCCCACCCCTGGGGAGCTTTCAGGAGCATCTGTGGGCAGAGGAGCCGTGGACATCTCTGGGGAGCTTTCAGGAGCGTCTGTGGGCAAGGGGGCTGTTCCCACCTCTGGGGAGCTTTCAGGAGCGTCTGTGGGCAAGGGGGCTGTGCCCACCTCTGGGGAGCTTTCGGAGGCTGCTGGGGACAGCTCTGTGGGCAGAGGTGTCGCCAAGCCCTCCCGCGTGGCTTCCGCAGGCTGCCCCGTCTTGGCTTCTGTGGGAAGGAGCGTTATCCCAGCGGGATGGGGAGTGCCTTTGCCGATGCCCATGGCGTGCTGCTTCTGGCGCTGCTTCTTCTTCTGGGCGTCTCTCTCATCCATCTCCACTATCTCCCCCAAGATCCACTCCAGGTAGTGCCTGGTGGAGGTGTAGACCCCCGGGCTGTTTGCCTGGGCACAGCCTTTGCCCCAGCTGGTGACTCCGACGACGTAGTACCGGGAGCCCGGGCCTGTCTTGCACATCAGGGGCCCTCCGCTGTCCCCCTGCAGGAGAAGGAAGGAAGGCAGGCAGGCAGGGGGGCGGGCAGGTGCCTCAGCCGTGCTGGGGAACAGCAACAGGCCCCTCCCCGCCAACAGCAGCGCTGCACCTCGGGGGCCGCAGCCCAGGCACCCCTCGGGGCCCAGCCTCAGCGGCAGCACATGCCCCGGGGCCAGGGTTTCGGGGCTGTTCAGCAGGCAGCCCTTTGGGTGTGGGGTGGGCTGTCAGGCGGGGTTACAGTGAACACCTGGCTCAGCAAGGGTTTTTCGGAGAACCTTCCTCAGCAGGCAGCAAGGCACCAATCGGCACGTCTGGCCCCACCTCACCTTGCAATGACATTGCTACCAACAACGAGGGCGAATATAACATACTAAAATGTGAAGGTCAAGGTCAAGGTTTCCCCTTGACGTGAAGCCCAGTCATGCCTGACTCTGGGGGGTGGTGCCCATCTCCGTTTCCTGGCCGAGGGAGCCTGCGCTTGTCCATGGTCTCCGTGGTCGTGTGGCCGGCATGACTAAACGCTGCTACCTGCCTACCGAAGTGGCGCCTTTTCGTCTACTTGCATTGGCATGCTTTCGAGCTGCAAGGTTGGCAGGAGCTGGGACGGAGCAACGGGAACTCGCCCCCTTGTGCAGCTTTGAACCGGCGACCTTTCGATCAACTGGCCCAGCAGCACAGCAGCTTAAACCCCTGCGCCACCCACACCCCTTACTAAAATGATGCAATAATAAATTGCACGTACATGGACTGTGGCTGCTGCTGGGGAAGCGCGCACGTTATGAAGCCCCGAGCGAGCGTCAGGTGGCTTTTGCTCTGACCTGCTCAGCAATGGGATCAGGGTTCTGCGGCTGTGTGCATGCGCTCGAGCGCGGTGCTTGTCCGTGCAGCCACCTCCTCCCCAGGAGAAGCTGCGACCACCGGCCGCTGCCGAAGCGCATGAGGGCAGAAGCGCTGGCTTGACCGAGTTGGCCCGTCTCTTGCGAAAGACCCGTCAGGCCCAAGGAGCATGTTCCCCACTGCCCAGGCAGGGCGCCAAGTTGTGGCTTCGAGCTGTTTCTCCCCGTGGACAGTTGGTGTGCAATTTCGCCCTGATGGGGCAGATCCTGGCTGCATTTACCGAGGTTTTCCCGGCTGCTTCAGCAGCAGGCCACCTGCCCACGGAACGGACTAGACGACCAGGGAGTTCTTGAGGCCCCTGTCAGAGCCCTGGCCAAGCGCCCCCCACTGGCGCAGCCCTCTTGGCCCCCTTACCTGGCAGCTGTCGATGCCCCCTTCCTCGTAGCCCGCGCAGAGCGTGTGGGGGCTCATGGCCCCGTTGTACCACTGGCTGCTGTTGCACTTGCTGGTCTCCAGGATGTTCACCTTGGCTTCCTGCAGGATGTCCGAGGTCTTCACGCCTGGGGGCAAACCAGGTGCTCAGCCGGCCTCCCACCTGCCCCCTCCTGGGCAGCTGCACCGAGCCTTGGCTAGGGGCCGCTCTGGCTTCCGGGGCTGCTGCAAAGCTCCGAGGAGCTCCGAGGGCCGCGTCCCGGGGCCCTCCGCGGCCATGAGGGTGAGGGCGAGGGGAGAGGGCGGCCCGCAGGAGCAGGGCAGAGCCAGCTCTTCATGGGGCCGCCCCGTGTGGACGCCTGCGTCGCACTCCCTGCCCTGCCGCCGCTCACCCGGTGCCCGCAGGGGAAGCCGCTCCCACCCTGTGCCGCCTTGCGGCTTGCCTTGACTTTGCAACTTTCCGCAAGGATGGCGCAGTCCGAGGCCCCCCGGCCTCACGGCGAGCGCCTGCCCTGCCCTGCTTGCGGGCGCCCCGGCCTCCCCTCCTCTCCCAGCCCGGGCCGGCCACCCGCAGCCCCGCGCGCCCGCCCGCCTGCCCGCCCCTGCTCACTGTTCGGGGCCGTGGTGCCCCAGCCGCTGATGAGGCAGCCGGAGAGCGAGGCGTCGGCGCCCGCCGTGACGCTGGGCAGGCAGGCCGGCTGCACGTAGTCGCCGTAGGGCACCGGGCCGCTGAGCTGCACCAGCGCGAGGTCGCTGGCCTCCGTGCGCGGGTCGTACGCCTGCGGGAGGATGACGCTCCGCACGGCGCGCACCTGGGCCGCGGGCGGCAGCGCCGACAGGTCCGTGGCGCCCACCACCACCCTCCAGAGGTGCAGCGACCTGCGGGCGGAGAGGGCTGGCGTGAGGGCCGGCGGTCTCCCCGGGCCGGCGCCAGGGACGGGAACAGCGATGGCGCTGGCTGCAGCCCACAGCGTGACCACCCCCCACAGGGCCTCCACACCCCCCTGCAGGCGCCGCACCTGGACAGGCTTCTCGGCGACACCTCTCCGAGTCCTCCCAGGCCGCCTCGCAGGGCCGCCACACAAGCCCACCGCTCCAAAAGCAGATCATTTAATTCCAAGGCAGGGGTGGGGGGAGGCTACGGCGGCCTCCCCCCCGCTGAGGCCCTCCAGAGCGGCCTGCCCGGCCAGCAGGCGCCGCGTCCGGCGCGCCAGGAGCACCAGGTGGGGAGCCCCCGGGATCGGCTCCCAGGAAACGCGAGGCAGAAGCTGCATCCACAGGATCCTTGGTACCGGCCGGCTCAGCGGGGAGGGGGTGCTGCTTGCCGGCCGGCCGGCTGGCCAATCCAGGCCCCCTCTGGGCACGTGCCTGGAACCGGAGCTGCCCCCCCCCATGTTGGGGGTTGCTCCGCCTCCCCACTCACCTCCTCTTGGTCTTGAAGCAGTGGGCCGCAGTGAGCACCCAGGTGGGGGCCAGGAGGGACCCTCCGCAGGAGTGCCGGGGGCCCTTGGGGGACGGGATCTGTATGCTGACCAGCCAGGGCCACGCTCCGGGCAGGGCGTCCACGCCCCCCACGATCCGCACTGTGCCGCCGTGGCTGGGGGCTAGGGGCCGTCTTCCGCAGGCTGCAGGGAGCAGAGGACGGCAGGTGGGGGTGCCGCCAGGCCCACCCGCGGCCCGGAGAGCGCGCCACCCGTCCGGGAGCGACCGCAGCAGGGCAGGGGCAGGGCAGGTGTGGTTCACGGGGGGATGTGCTGCACCGGGCACCACGGAAGCCAGCGAGGCAGGGAGCCCAGAAGGCGAAGCTGCGGGGACTCGCACGACCCCAAACCAACCCCTGGACTGCCGGGGGGCAGGGCTGCGCAGGCACCACGGCAGGCCGAGGGGGCTCCATGAGTGGCGCAGAGGCAGCGCCTGGGCAGAGTCCGTGGGGGCAGCAGGGGGCTTGGTGCAGCCAGCTCACACCCTGCCCTCGGGGGCGCCCGTCTCCCGGCCCGCCTGGGTTCCCTCGGCTCCACGCAGGGGATGGCTGAGGGCACCGGGTGCAGAGCGAGGCGCCGCAAGGGTCCGAGGCTGCCAAGATGGGGGCGGAAGCGCGACTCGCGCCCCGGCGTCTCTGGGTAAGGGGGCTGTCGAGATGCAGGTCTGGCAGCGTGACCCCCACGAATCACGTGGCAGACCGTGCCCCTGGGGGCTGGGTGCAGCCTCTGGCGGCAGGGCAAGGGGGCAGCGCTGTACGTGTGAGAGCTGGTCGGGGGCCAGGCCTTGGCTGCCCGGAGCCTCCACACAGGCTGGGGGGGCCCTCTTGTGCGTGGGACTTCCCCTTGGGGGGAAATCCTTTGGCAGACTTACAACGAGAGGTGGAGGGGAGGACCCCCCTGTGGGACCAGCCATAGGAGCAGGGTGACCTGCAACCCCCACCCCCCCAGACGCCACTCACTCTCTGCGTCGTAGCCGTGGGTGCCCAGGAACCTCAGCAAGCCCACGACCCCCAGAAGCAGCCCCGCCGGGGCTCCCATCACGAGCCGTGGCCCCTGGCGCCGGCGGCACATCAGCGGAGCCGTGCTCCAGCACCAGCAGCCGGCCACGACCTCAGTGGGTTCTCCTTCCGCGTTGCCAGGAGACGGCCGGAATGGGCCAGCCACCCCCACGCCGTGGGCTCCGGGGGCGTCCCCCCACGGGCAGCTCCCCGGGAAGCAGCTGCAGCCGCCGGGGCCCCGGGGAACGGCGGGCACAGCGCGGCCCCGAGAAGCCGCGCACGGCTGGGGATAATGGCCTGCGGCACATGAAATGCCCGCACAGTCGGACTTCTGGGAGGCTGCCCGCCCTCCGGGCCCACAGTCCGAGGCGAGGCTGCTGCACACAGGCCCCCGCGGCGGTCCTGTGGGGCATGGAGGAGCCACCGCCCGGGCCCCCGACCAGCTGGGCCTCACGGGGCGCTGGGAGCCGCCCGCTGTCGGAACAGCACCCGTGCCGCAGCAGCCTGGGGGCGGCGGCCGAGCTGGGGGGCATCGGCCCTGGCCGGGCCTTCCCTTTCCTGGGGGGGGGCAGGGCCCGGGCTGTCCCGGCGGGGCTGCGACGCAAATGGGCAAGTGGCAGCCAGCCACGGGGCCAGTGGCCGCAGGGCAGATGCGCAGGCTGCACGTGGGGGGGCCACGGGGAGGGGCCTGGCTGAGGCGCAGCCTCGGAGCCCGGAGGGGAGGCTGGCGGGCCTGGTGGGGGAGGAGAGGCGAGTGCGGGGGGCGGGGGCCAGAGGGGCCCCCGTGGCGAGCCAGGCGGCCCCCTCGAAAGTGCCAATCCCGCTGGGCTCTCTGGGGGTGGTGACTCGCCGGGCCAGGAAGCGGCTCAGTGCAGGCGGCGGTCCTTCGTCCCCCCGGGCGAGAAACCCAGCCGAGGCCCCCCAACTCCGGAAGGGGCTTCTCCAGACCGAAGGGTCCCTGAAGGAGGCCTGCTGAAAGGGAAGGGCGGGCGAGGAGCCAACCCCTGGCCCAGGGCGCGCATATGCTGCCGCACAGGGGCCACCCATGCGTGTGCGCGTCTGCGCATGGACACATGTGCAGCACCTGCAATCCTGAGCTGCGTCGGGAAGCCTCGAGATGGGATAACGGGGTGCGGCCTGGAAAGGCCCCTTCCACCCTGAACCTCAGCAGTTTATTGAAAGATCACCCAGGACCCCTGCAGTGACTTCTGACAGCAGCCACCGGGTAGAGGTCTCCACCGTGGACTACTAGTGTTTAGAGCATGCACAGAGTGTTTTATAGGTTCTGAGCCACGTGGGCCCAGCAGCTGGGCAGGTGATGACGGAATAAGGGGAACGCAGTCCAAAGGTGAGGGGTCTGCAGAGGGGGCTCGTGCAGTGGCGTTTGAGCGACACAGCGATCGGGGGATCACTGGGGGCCTCGGCAGGCGAATGAGGGCGGCTGCTCACCTGGCCGCCTGACCGGCTCGCGCTGATCGCCCAACCGTCGCCCCGGCAGCCCCCCGTTCCCACTTCTTAAACCGGCAGCAAAGGCCCAGCAGTGGCCTGGCTCGGAAACGGGGTGCTTCCTGCGGGAGGGGTGCAGGGCTGACTCGGGTATCGCAAAGGCTCCGATAAGCAACCCTCTTCTGCCAGGGTGTACCTGAATTTTCGCGACATCTGGCGCGCACTTTCACAAGGCCGGCAGCGGTGGGGGAGTGGTGTGCCCTGGGCCCTTTCAGAGAGGAAGGGGCAGCCCTCTCTCCAGCCCCCCCCCGAAACCCACACGGAGCATCCTCCCTCCTCCCCGAAAGCGCAGAAGCTGCGGGGCGAGGGGGCTGGGCTGCAGAGCCCGGTGGGTCGGGCCGCTCCTGAGCCGGGCGCCGCCAGCCTCAAGCGGGGCCCCTGCAGACGACGAGGGTGTCCCCTGTTGCAGCTGCAGCAGCAAGAAGCGGGCACAGCGGGTCCTCGCGGCCGGGGAGCCTTTCCTTCAACGCCCACCCGCTTGTGCTGCCAGGGGCTCGCTGCTGCCGCCCCGCGCTCTGAGGAGCCCCGTCCAGTCCAGTGCGCTTGCCACCCCCGCCCCCCCGGAGGCAGTTTCCCAGGAATGAGCGGAGGCTAGCGAGGCATGTCGAAAGCAACAGAAAAGCCTTCCTCAGAAATGTCCAGAGTAAAAGGCAGAGGAAAGAACCAGGAGCCTGCAGGGTCCCGCTGGACACCAGGAAGGGCTTCCTGTGTGAGGACAATGGAGCGCATGACCAGGGCGGTGCTGGGCTCTCCCGCACTGGCTGCAGCCCGGACGCAGCTGGCCAGCCCTCGGGGGGGGGGGGTGACTTGGCATCCTGCACTGGGCAGGGGGTTGGGCCCAGTGGCCTTCTGGGCCCCTTCCAACTCCACTCCCCTGGCGTTGGCGTGTGGGGCAGTGGCGCCAGAGGGCCTTGGCCTGGGCGGGACCCTCGTGAGTCTGCGCAGCTGCCCAGGGAGCTCAGCCCCAGGACGCCTGAGCGGCCTCTGCTGCATCAGCTCCCGGTCCGGGAGACGGACGCCCTTCCAGCCCTTTGCGGCCACTCCGCCCACGACTGGGCCACGTCTCCTGTAACGCCACCCGGGAAAGGGCCCTCCTTCCCTCTCCAGGGACCCCTGTCAGGCCGGTCAAAACCCACAGGGCAGTGTGCTGCTGCCCTCTGCTGGCTTCCCCAGCCCATGACAGGGCACCTTCCTCCGCCCTGCGTTGTTTCCCAGGCACCCACAGTCCTGGCCCTGCGGACGCGGGTGGGGCTGGGGGGCTGCCTATGGTGTGCCCGGGGGCACCACGCGAGCAGCTGCACCGAGGAAGCGGAGAGGCCAGGGAGCTGCCCGGCGCCAGGATGCGGCCGACGCAGGGGCTGCCCCAGCCTCAGGACGCGTGTGCACCAGCATCACAGGTGCATGGAGACCCCCAGATCTGGAGGGCTCATTTTCCCGACCCGGCAGGTCACGCAGCACCCTTTCCGTGCGGATCCTTCCAGGCTGGACCGCGGCCTCGCCACGCTCTGCTCTCCAGAGTCAGTCACAGAGTCGCCAGACGGACTCGGATGCTGTTTTCACCACTGCGTTTATTAAAAGGCTACAGGCACTCGTGCTCGTGGTGTCCAAGTCACGAAGAGACGCTCCTGGGGGGGACGGGGGCCCTTCTGCAAATGGAGCAGGCAGGACTGCGCTTGCTCGAGGCTCTGCCACGGGTGAGTTGCGGGCGAAGGCACGACGTGTTTACGGGGGGCAGCCTTGCCTTCGGCAGTCGCACTCATCCCCAGCCCCAGTTCGGCAAGTCGCCCCCTCCGTCCGTTGGCGGCCAGGCCTCTGCAGAGACGCCTCGGGGGAAATGGCCCAGCGCCACTTGCTGTCGCGCTCAAAAAACGCAGCTTTATGTGCTGCGCCGCGTCCGTTCGGAGAGGGAGCCCGGAGCCCTGCAGAGGAGCCTGAGCTGGCCACCGGAGCGGCCGAGCGACCCGCCAGCCTCCCCGGCGGGGCTGGGAAAGACCCCCGTCCGAAGCCCTGGCGGCGACGGCCACGCAGCACGAGCCAGGGTGCCACAAGGGCCCACGCCCAGCCCAGCGGGCTCAGTTCTCCCCAGCGGGCCTGCCCCATGTCCTCCACTCAGGGAGGGGGGCTTGAGCAGGGCTGCGCTGCCCACCTCCCCCCGTGGGCCTGGGGGATTCACGGCCCACGTGGAAAGTGAGCACATGGCACGGCACCCTTCCCGCACAGTCACCACGGACAGTGGCTCCGGCCTTCCTGCCACGGGGGAAGGGGCCAGCACGCCTGGAGGGGGACCCAGCTCCAGGAGGGCCGAGCTGCCCTCCCGCCTCTGCCGGAAAGCCTGCGGCTCACGAGGGACGGCTGGGGGCGTGGACTGGCGCTGAAGACGCCCCAAAGCGCCTTGCTGACCGAGCCACGAGGACGCCCTCGTGTGGCAAGATGCGCCACAGGTGGCCTGCCATGCCTCACTCCGCCACAGTGAGGACCAGCCACGCCAGGGGTGCCGCGGCGGCACAGAGCGCCTGCTCGGCTTCAGCAAGGCAAATAACCCAAGCCGAGGGACGCCCGTCCCGGGCACTGCAGGCCTGACACGGGACGGGGCGCACACCCCCCGGAGCAGCTGCCCTGCCGCAGAAGCGAGCGCGCAGGTCCCCCGGGAAAGGCGGCCGTCGGGACAGCCGTGTCGTTCAGCCCGAGAAGAGAAGACTGAGGGGGGACGTGGTCCCCCTCCATAAGTACCTCGAAGGCTGCCCCAAGGAGGAAGGCCAGGATCTCTTCTGGGTGATGCCAGAGTGCAGGATGTGGAATAATCCGTTCAAGTTGCGACAACCCAGATTCAGGCTGGACATCAGGAAAAGCTTCCTCACTGTCAGAGCAACACAGCAGTGGGACCAGCTGCCCAGAGAGGTGGGGGCTCTCCCTCACTGGAGGCACTCAAGGAGAAACTGGGCAGCCCCCCGAGTGGGGTGGTGTGACGTGGTGTCCTGCAATGGCAGGGGGCTGGACTGGATGGCCTCCATGGCCCCTTCCAACTCCACTATTCTGCAATTCTACGATTCCGCGAAAGCTCCCTTCACCACTAGCTCCCCAGCCAGGCCGCTCCTCTGCGCATGTGCAGAGCGGAGAGGCCCCTGGCAGCCCCGCGCGGCAAGGGCTGGCGGCTAAGGGGGCGACGCGCAGGTGCAGCAGGACGGCTTGGGGGTGCAGCTGGGGGAGCAGCAGGGCTCGAGGGAGGGGTCGCTGCCCCCGGCCAGCTGGCTCTCCCCAAACTGCATCTGGGCGTCGAAGAGGGCCTTCTGCAGGCAGACCTCCTTGAGGGCGGCCAGGGCCTCGGGCCCCACCAGGGCCCCGCGGAGGAGGTTGTAGTTCTCGGCCGGATCAGACTCCAGGTCGAAGAGCAGCGGGGGCTCGTGGGCGGCCAGGGGGGTCAGGCCGTGGCAGGCGACGTCCGGAGTGGTGTCACTGTGCAGAGCTCCTGCAGGGGCATGGGAGGGAGAGCCGGCCATGATGCGCGCCGTGGGGTGGGGGGGCCGGCCGGGCGGCACGGGGGACAGGCCAGCCCCAGCCCGGGCCGGGTAGAGGGTCAGACTTACCCTGGGTGAAGAAGTGGGCCTTGTACTTGCCGTAGCGGACAGCAAAGACCCCCAGCAGCTCGCTGGGCGCCGGGGGGTAAAAGAACATGACTTGGCGGGGGCTCTGCAAAGAGAACAGAGTGAATTGGGGGGGGGGGGAGGCTGGCAGATTAAAAAGCCCTGTAGCCCCGGCAGCCTCCCCCGTGGCCCCCTCCTCCCGCCTGCCTCCGGCCACGTGGCGCTCGCTGCAGGCAAACGCAGCACTCAGCCGGGAATCGCGTGCGTCCCACATGCTGGGGGGTGGGTGCTGCCACTTCCCCCTCCTGGATGGGCAGCCAGTGCCCCCTAGCCAGCTTTCTGCCACTCAGAAGGGGCTGCAGCCGAACCGGGGGAGCCCCCCAAGAGCAGCTGCAGCCACAGCCCCCACCACAGGCCAGCTCCAGGAGGGAGGGAGAGACCCCCAGCCCCGCCCACCACTGCCCCCCAGTTGAAGCCCGGCCCAGCGCCAGGGGCCGTGAGCCCGGGTGCCTGCGCAGCAGCAGTGGGCATGGCTGGGGGCTGCAGCTCCCACCCCCACTGAAGGGCTCCGTGGTGCAGCCGGCCAGCCCCGGAGTGGACAGACAGACTGCTGGGCCGGACGGACGCCAGGCACGATCCAGCCCTGGGGCGCATCTCCTGTTCACTGTGGCGCCCCCCCTCCCCCCCAGAGTGCACGTCCTCACGCCCGAGCTGCCCGGGAGGGGAAGCCGCCGGAAACTCACCCGGCTGCCTCCGAAGAGAAGGGGGCTGAGGTCGAAGCCATCCAGGGTGACGCTGGGAAGGGGGGCCCCTGCCAGCGCCGCCACGGTCGGCAGGATATCGAGGGTGCTGGCCAGCTCGTGGGTCACCCCTGCAGCAGAGGCGAGCGCGGACAAGGCGGATGGGCCACCGGGGAACCCGTGCCAGCCCCGCTCGCAGCCGCACCGTGCCCTGTGCAGGGCAGGGCAGGAGGGGCCATCCAGCTGGGGGCATCCTGGCGGCCTCCAACCCTCCCCGCCCGGGCAGCCGGCAGGCACCCACTCCCCGGGCCCCGTGGCAAGCCAGAGAGCCCCCCGCCACCGCAGGGCGTCCGCTCGCCACGGCACGCGAGTGCGAGAGCAGAACCGGCCCACGCTGCACGCTTCCGGGCTGGGGGGGCTTCTTTTCAGCCTCCAGGAAGGCCCAGTGCAGCACAGTCCGAGCTGGGGGGGGGGGGCACGGGGCCTGGGGCGGCGAAGCGGCTCACCTGGGGCGATGCGGCCCGGCCAGTAGGCCACGGCCGGCTCCCTAACCCCGCCTTCGTACGTGGTCCCTTTGCCGCACTTGAGCGGGCCGGAGCTGCCCCCGCGGGACATGCGCATGGTCTCAGGGCTGCACGAGAGGAGAGGGCTTTGGAGAGAAAGGCCTCCCCCCGCGGCCCGCGCCTCTCTGAGGCTCAGCGGGAGCTGCGCGGGCCCTCCAGAACCGTGCGCCGCAAGGAACGCAGCCCTGTGCCACGTCCTCAAAGCCCACGGGACAACCACCCGCGGCGCTCGCACCTCTGCCACGTTCCAATTTTAGCTCGCGGCGTCTCCCGTCGCCCACCGACCAGCCAAGCCCACCAGAACGCTGCCTCCCTCGTCACCGCTCCTCCACGGAGACGACGGGCTTGGCCTCGGGGGCCCGTCTGCCGTCCCTTCCTGGGCCGCGACTCGCCCTCGTTAAAACGGACGTGCAGCGGAGAACGGCCCTCAGGCGCCAGAGACTCACTGGCTGCCCTCGCCGGCGCTCCGGCTCGTGGCAGGCCCTCTGCCCGGGCCCGCCTGGCTCTGGGTCCCGCTCCCCTCGCACCAGGCCCAGCTCACCCGTTGTCCGCGGTGAAGAACACCAGCGAGTTCTGGTCCACACCGGCCTCCTGCACCGCCTGCAGGAGCTGGCCCACGGACGCGTCGAACTCCAGCAGAGCATCCCCGAAGGGCCCCCGGGGGGAGCGGCCCGCGTAGTCCTGGCTCGCAAACTGGGGGTAGTGGGTGTGCTGGGGAGGAAGATCGCCCCGCGTCAACACCGGCCACTCGCCGCAGGACCCCGCCTCGAATTCCCCTCCGCCCAGCATCCGTTCCGCCCTCTTCCCCCGAGCACCTCTCCTGGCTCTGGCCCCTCGGTCGTCCCCGGACCTTGCGCAGCGGCTCCCCATCCGCAGGGCGTCAGGCCTCTCCCAAGCCCGCCCCATTCCTGGCCGTGCCGGCACTGGGCGGACAGCGCTGGGACCCTCAGCTCCGCCCCACGCGGGATGTGGCCCCAGGCGCTCCCCCGAAATGCAATCTAGAGGGCGACCGGCCCCGCCTAATACCAGCTCCGTTCCCAGCAAGAAGTGCTGGCCGGGATCTGGCGAAGGGCGCAGAGGAAAGAGCGCCCCTCCTGCTGGGGATCCGCAGAAGCCGGGATCACACCGGGCGAACCCTTCCCCCCTTTCAGGCTGGTCTGAGACTGTGATTCCGCAGCAGGAAAGGTTTCGAGGAGGGTCTGAAACACGGACATAACCCCCCCTCGCTTGTTTTGCATGGGGGGCACTGGTGGAGAAGAGGAGGGCAAAGAGCGCCGTGGGATGTGTGGACTCCGCCGGCCTCTCTTCCTTCTGCACCCGGAGCTGTCCAGAGCCCCCGCGAGGCGAAGCGCAGCTGCCCCCCAGCGCGGTCGCCCCGCTCTGTCCCCCACGGAGCATCGGGCCGAGGGTCAGGGCAGAGGTGGAGACGGCAGGACAGGACACGAGGCGGCACGGGCCCCGGGGGCCGCCAGCTCCGGCCAGGGCGCAGGGGACCGACCCCCTCCCCTCCCAGGGACGCGGCCGCAGCCGGCCTGCCCCCCCGCCCGGTCGCAGGCTCGGCCCGGACTCACGTGCGAGGCGTAGTAGAGCAGGAAGGGCTGCTTGCGCCGGGCACAGGCGGCGATGAAGTCCCGGGCAAAGGCGCTGTAGCGGGGCTGCAGGCGGGGGAAGGCCACGGGCTGCTCCACGATGCTCTGGTTCCAGAAGAGCGGGACGGGCACCACGCCCTGGTCGCAGGCCCCGTAGCACGGCGTGGCAGGGGGGAAGCAGGTCAGGTTCTGGCACGGGCCCTGCGGGGGGGAGCAGCCGAAGGCGCCTTGGCCGACAGGTCGGGAGGGACGCGCGCCCACGGGCACCGGGCACGTGCAGCGCCCCAGCCGCAGTCTCTCCCCATCTGCGCCCCCACCCCACAGAGCGCCAGGGGGAAAGAACGGGGGTCCGGCAGAGCCGCACCCCACCGGCCCCCACAGCACTCACTGGAAACCTCACTGGGCTCCCAGGGAAGACCCTGCAGGTTGGCGTGGACACCGGCTGTGCGGTCCGGCCCCCTGCTCCCCCGTGGCCGATCAGATGCCCCCGGGAGGCCTCCAGGTGAGGCAGGGGGCAACAGCCCTGCCTGGCAACTGCCCTTGGGGGCCGGCATCCGGCCGCGGCGGCTCAAAGCCGGCGGAGCAGCCTCTCCCAGCCCCTTGATAAGCGTGTCCAGGCGCTGCTTAAAAGCATCGGGGCCGCAGCTGCTCCGACACCCATGTGCCAGCAAATTGCATAATTTGATTACTAGCTGCATGAGAAGATCCAGTTAGTCAGGGACTCTTCTGCCAATTTCATTGCCTCTTTCCAGTGTTACGGGGAAGAAAAGGTCTGCCCGCTCTGCCCAAACCTCGACTGTGTCCACGTCGTGATCTGGCCTTAGACCCCTCAAAACGACGCTTGTTTATTTATTCAAAACATTCCTATGCCGCCCCCATCGCAACAAAGCCTTGGGTTTGAAATTTCCTCTTGAAAGCTCATGCCTAAGGAATATTTTCCAAACAGCTAGGAGCTATTTTCTTGTGTGGGAGCAACGCGAGAGCCATCGCTCTGGGGTCAGGTTCCCAAATCCAGTCCTCCCCTCCACCACACCATTCCCAGCTGGCAGCAGCTGTCGTCATGGGCCTTGTAGTCCTTCCAATGGGAGGAAGGCGCGTCAGCCCCAGCAGAGCTGGGCTCGTCCCCAGAGCCGCTTACATCCCGGCCCAGAGCGCGGCAAGGGGTCTGCACGCGCCACCTCGTCCCCTCTGGCGTCCCCCCCGAGAGCACCCGCTGCCCCGCCCCGCCGCTCACCTGGTCATGGGAATAGGGCACGCCCAGGAAGTGGTCGAACCCCTGCCGGGTGGGCAGGAAGGCCCCGCCGGGCCCCAGCCCCAGGTGCCACTTGCCCACCATGGCTGTGGCGTAGCCCCGCGCCTTCAGCACCTCCGCCACGGTCACCTCCGCCAGCGGGAGGCCCCCCCGGGAGCCGGGGTAGAAGATGCCGGGGTAGATGCCGGAGCGGGTCTGGTAGCGCCCCGTCAGCAGGGCCGCCCTGCAGATGGGAGGGGTGCTCGATCGACGGGCCGGCTGACCGACCGCCCCGCATCCTCCGCAGGGAAGCCTGCGGCTGCCCCCCCCCCAAAAGGTCCCCGGACTGGTCTGGGGCCGAAACAGCCTGGGGCAGCCCCCCTGAGCAGAGCGCCCCAGGCGCTGGACTGCGGCTCCGGTGCTCCCAAGCCAGCTTGGACGGCGGCACCCGGTGCTGCTCCTGGCCGAGACAGACGCATGGACGCCAGCGGGACCCAGGCCAGAGTGGCGAAGGGTTCCCCCGGGGGAACGGAGCCGCGAGTGCGCAAAGGGTGCCCCCCACCCCGTGTGAATCGAGCGCATGAATGAACCTGTGGCTCCCGTGAGCGCCCGGGCAGGGCAGGGCAGGGGGCTCGCTTACCGGGAGGGGCTGCAAACAGGACTGCTGCTATAGAAGTCGGTGAACCGCAAGCCGCCGGCGGCCATCTTGTCCAGGTTTGGGGTGCTGGAGGTTGGGTGCCCATAGCTGGCCAGATCGCCGAAGCCCAGGTCGTCGGCAAAGATGAGGACAAAGTTGGGGGGCTGGTGGGCAGCTGCCAGCAGGGCCTGGAGCGCCAGGCAGAGGAGGAGCCCCGGCAGAGGCATGGCCAGCCTGGCGCCCGAGGCCTTTGCCCGCCACGCTGCAGGCCGTCCTCGTTGCCAGGCCGGTCTGAGCGTCCCTGGGCCAGAGGCCGGTCAGCGCGCCGCGAAGGCCAAGCTCAGAGGAGCCCGTGCCCCGTCGGCCCCCCGTTCCATCAGGGACGGTCTCCCAGGGCCACGTGCCACTCCAAGGCAGGATCCTCTGGGGGTCACGCCACGCTGCCCAGGGGCCACGGAGGAGAGCCTGCGAGGAGGAGAGAAGGCTCAGAGCAAAGGACCCCGGCTCCGCACGGCACTCACAGCCAGCTCGGAGAGCAAAGCAGCTCCCAGCTGGCAGGGGGCTGGACCGCCACAGGAGCGCTTGGGGGCGGGGGGGGCTTGCCAGGCGTTCTGGAAGGGGCTGGCAAGCTGCTCTTGGCTGTGACGCCTGGAGAGGCCGCTGTGCCTGCAGGGCGTTCCAAAGGAGACGGAGGAACGGCAGCAACGGCAGCGCGAGCGATGGAACTCCCGGCCTTATTGGGGAACTGAAACCATGGCCAGGTGCAGACAGGATGCACCTGAGAGCTCTTAAGCAGCCGAAATGTGGAATGACCAAAAAGGTACCTCAGCTTTTAGGCAAGACTGTTTTTAGCCTGCCTTTAAGGGTAGAACAGGTCCCTGTGTCCAGGGTACCTAGAACCGAAAAGTACTAATGCAGACACACCATTTACAAAAGGATCCGAGGGAGCTCTGGGGAACAACTGTGCCGGGTAAATTGGCTGAAGGTGCTGCGAAAGACAAAGCTGGGAAGTGTAGAGAAGGAGAAGCCCTGCTGGAAAAGAACCAGCCCGGCTTCCCCAGAGCGGCTCCCGCTCGCACAGCTCTTTGTGGGTGCCACTAGACACACAGGCAGGAATCACCGGGGAGCCCATGTTTGCTTGGCTTCCAGGCGTCTCCCGGCAAATCCCTCACCAAAGATGGCTGACTGAATGCAGCAGCCACAGAATGGAGACCAGCCCACCCGGCTTGCCTTCCTCCTTTGGCTGTTGTCAGGATTGTGCTGAGGACATGCTTGCTGGTGGCTCTGGGCTTTTGAACGCTGTGACTCTGCCAGCAAGCCACCTTGCCCTTTGCCTCAAGGCCAGGAAATAAGCACCCGGAAGAAGGAAAGGCCCTTACCAGGCACTTCCTGCTTTTTGCAGAGAGAAGGGAAGGGGAGCCTGCCCAACCAACCCGATGAAGCCGCCTGGCCCTGCGCAGCTTGTGCCCTGCAGCCCCGGGGGGACGGCAAGCGCCCCAGCCCCAGCCCAGCCTGGCTTCCGCGGTGCACCCACTCGCTGGCCCGCTGGGATCCCCCTCAGCACTGCTCAGCCAGCACCCCAGAAAGGAACCTGCAACAACAGGGATCTTGCTGTTGTTTCCCTTCTATACCACCCACAACCAACGCTCTCTCTGCGGTTCACAACAGTACATAAGACAGATGATGCAATAAAATAAAATACAGAAAATCAAAAACATTACAAATCTAAAATAATGGTAACCAAACAATAATGAAAGACTTAGTGCCAAAAAGATGACAAACTTGGTGCCAGCTGGGCCGCAGTGGGGGGCTGCCCCTTCCTGCCCCCCCTTCCCTCAAGGGAAAGGCCCAGGCTTGAGCGCGGTGTCCGAGCAGCAGCACTCGAGGGCTCGGTGCTCCAAGCTGTGAAGGGCTTTCTAGGCAGCACCTTGAACTGGGGCTGCAAGCAGGTCCGGGCGGGCCCAAGCTGGCCTCACGCACCCGGCCCTGCGGGTCCCAAATCATTCACCTGCCTGCCGCCTTCTGCACCAGCTGCGGCTCCGGAGCCACCTTCAAGGGCAGCCCCGTGCAGCGTGCTTCGCGGTAATCCAGCTCAGCGATTACCAGAGCATAGACCCCCGGTACCAGGTTGCTCCCGTCCAGGCGGGGGCACAGCTGGGCCACCAGCTGAAGCTGGCAGAAGGCCCTCCGAGGCACGGAGCCCACCTGGGCCCCAAGTGACCAAGACGGCTCAGGGGGCACCCCAAGCTCCAAACCTGCTCCTTCGGGGGAATGTGCCCCATCCAGCGCAGGCTGGACACCCCCCATCCAGCCAGAGGAACCGCTCCCCAGTGGCCCCTCGGTCTTGTCTGGCCTGGGCTTCAGTGTGTTGGCCCCCATCCAGCCATGGTCACGGCCAGGCACTGGCTGGGCACACCCACAGCCTCACTTGCTAACCCCAAAAAGGAGAACTAGCGCGGCATGTCACGTCGAGGGGTGCGGCTTGATGGTGCCATGGGGCGGTCTTACATTTATTTATTAGATGTATACCCCCGTTTTCATACCTGCCACTCTCAATCTTATCCCCGCAACAGCCACCCGGTGAGGTAGGTTGAGCTGGGACAGGCCCCAAGTCCCCCGGTTGGCTCCATGGCTGAGCGAGGACTAAAACCCAGATCGCCTGAGCCCCACTCACACACTCCTGACCACCCCCCTATGCTGGCCCCACATGTTCCCAGCTCAGGAAACCAAGCACTTCTGTTCATAGAATCACAGAACAGCAAGGCTGGAAGGGGCCACGGAGGCCATCAAGTCCACCC